GTGTGCCTTGGCCCCCCCATTCAAAGTGAATGGGCAGAAGCGTTGGAAGATTTGTTAACGCTGCTGTGTAGACGGGCCGTTAATATTTCCTTGCACTATATTTTTCAGTTTTTCTGTGTTATTGTGTTGCACTGTTGGAGAAGCCTGTGACCTAAGATTTTCATCGACATAACTACTCTGTAACTATGTTCGTATGACAAATAAAGAACCATGAACCTATTTCAGATGTTATGTTGTTAAAGATTCAATATTCAAGGCTTTATTGTCATGTGCACATTAGCTACATTGTAGTCGATATGGCAATGAACAACTTAAGTCACAGGCTCCTCCAACAGTGCAACATTAAAGGTCCCATGTCATGGCCATTTCCACTGATCATAATTCCATTGTTGAGGTCTACTAGAATAGATTTATATTGTGCAATTTTCCAAAATCACATTGGTTTCTCATACAGTATCTCTGTATACTACATGTATTCACTGAATTTCACTCTCTGCCTTTAACGGCTCGTTGTAGCTCCAATAGCTCCAGCCCCCACCCTCCCTGTGAGCACAGTGTGCTCTGATTGGTCGGGACGTTGTGAATCGCGCTAAGCTCCGTGGAGGTATGGTTTCCTTGTTTAGCGACAGCGAAACACAGCCAAACTCACCCTGAGCACACACAAAGTCACAGCCAAAGTAAAAACAATAAGTGTGGCTTGATATTGAGTAAGAAAAAGGTTGATAAACGCTGTGAGAATGGGTCTGCAGAGAGAATGTCGCCGCGATCCCAACTGTCTGTTATCAGCCTGCAGCCAGGGAGGAGAGATCAGCAGAGCTGCATGCACTGAGTGTGTGTTTGAGGAAGTCCGTGGATTGGTCCATTTGGACCAATCAGCGGGGGCTTAACGTAACGGCTCCACGGATTGGTCCATTTCGTTTCGGGTACGGTTGACATCATGCGTACCCAGAAGAATCAATGGACAGTGACGTATCTCCAACGAGGCGTTTTGGGGAGGTATTTTCTGTGTTAGAGTTTTACTCGCTACAGGGTGTACTTTGAGGGTTTGTGACTCTGCAGACCGTTTACATGCATAAAAACCTTCATAACACAGAAGGGGACGGGTAATAACCGGAAAAGCATGACATGGGACCTTTAATATATATTTAGGACATAAACAAATACAACAGATAAAATAGTGCAAGAGAAGCTTCATGTTCAAATACATTTCCCAAGATGCTACAGGGGAAAACAAGATGTACAAATATCTGTTGTCTTCCCAGGACAGTGGAAGAGCATTGTTTTCCAGCTGCTTTGCCATTATTCGAAATCCTCCCAGAAATGTGTGTAACCAACCGTGTAACTCCTTTTCTTTTAGGACCACGATGCAGGGGAATACTTTCAGGAGGAAGACAACAGTATGGAAGTTTTCTCCAGGAGGAAACTGGAGACAAACTGGGATCGCTACGAGGCGTCGGAGCGCAAGGAGCCTGATGACGAAACGCCCGCTCAGAGGGGAATAGACTACCACCTCCTGATGGAGTCAGCAGGTAAGATCTGAGGTTTGTTTAGCTTCCCACAAACTTGAAATATCACTGTACTGCTTCTCGTTTTGGTGGCTAGATGTCTGCGTGTCACATCAAAGAAATAAAACCAATTAGCTCCACTTCTGCTCCACAATCTTGTTTCATTTTTCTCAAATTCTTTTGTACCAATAGAGATCAAACCATCCTCTGATTAAAGGAAAAGTACCAAGCTTCTACTTTAAATTTGTGCACAGCTTTTCCAGAAGCATAGAAAGTGCACTTTGTATCAAATCACCCTTCTGAATCTAATGGAACTTTTCTGTCTCTGTATCCTAATTAGTTTAAAGGAAGTGTTGGACTGGGTTGTCAGACGGCTGCATAAGAAAATCCTTGTTTGTCTTTGTTTCAGCCTCAGTGGTCCGTGCTTTGGCCCCCTGGGGTCTCAACAGTCTCATCTCTGTTTCTGTTGATATTTCTTCCCCCAGAGGAGCACTAACGATGGAAGCTCAGGGCTTTCTTATTAGAGCAGAGCTGGAGGTTTCTTTATATTCAGGACAGATTCCCAGATAACAACCCCACTGTGTCGCATTTTAGCAGCTCCCTGGAGTGCAGTAATTGAGTAATATTGCCATGGCTGTTGGCTTTCTTGCATAGTACTACAGTGTATTGTTTACTGTGCTGTTGAAGTGTTTGGTTTTTATATTGTCTAGTGTTGTGTTATAGGAATTACGATGCCATTATTCAAATTACACCAACACGATGGCTTTTTATTCATTAACAAACATCAGATAGTTCTTTTTTGCAGTACCAAAATGTTATGTTTTAAACAGTTGAATATCACTGTGGAAGAAACATGTCACAGTAGAGGAACAACATACACAATTGAACTTCAAAATGAGCAGAATATTTTAATATGAACACAAATTAAATGACTGTGTAATTTGAAAGTGGTTGATTGCAGTTTTCTTCTGATATTATGAGCATTTGAGTGTTTTCAGATCTTTGTTTCGGTCTTTCCGGTTTTTGTTCAGGCTTACATTCATCAGCGTTTTATTCAGAACCAGCTGCAGCCCCCCCACTGTGTCCTGCATATAGACTGTGTATATAAAGGTGCTACACCAAACAGCGACATTTGGGGATAACACTGGAGCTTGAGCTGAAGACTTTTCTTTTTGTCGCTGCTTTTAATTGAACTATTCATATCTTAGACTGCACTGTAACTTTTATCAATGTATTTTTTCTTTTAATGTTTATTTTATTAACTTTTCTTTTTAATGACTGATTTTAAATGCCATTTTCTTAATGTCTTTCATTTTTTGTAAAGCACTTTGAATTGGCTTGTGTTGAAAAGTGCTATATAAATAAACTTGCCTTGCCTTGCCTAAGCCCAGCCAAATACAACCGTAACAATAAATGTAGCTTGAAGTGTAATTTCAGAGGCTTGGATTTATGAAAACATAATAATATTACACTGTAATTATTAACATTTCTGGCATTTAAAATGAATACATCTACAAGTTATGTATTCAAAAAAAGTTATTTTAATGTCAGCATTTAGAAAGAAGACATTTTCAAGCCAGCTTTACTGATTGGTGTGAAACGTTAAATCGGCTACATTTTGAATATTGTTACATTACCTGTTCCACACCGCATTTTACTGACTGTCCTTTACTTATTTATTTTTAAACCTTTTATGCTCTTAACCTTTTATTTTTATTTTTTATATTGCCATCCAATATTCTCCTTTAGATATCTTTTTACTTATATAAATCAAATGTATTATTATTATGTTACATGTTAGACGCTCAATACTGTGGGCAATCCCCACAGGAGCAATTTGGGGTGAAGTGTCTCAGAGACACAACGACATGCTGACTGCAGTGGGGTTTGAACCTGTGACCCCCTGATCCCAACACCAACGCACTATTCCACTGCGCCACACGCCCGTTTAATTAAACCTGCTTTTAAACTGTTGGAGTTTTAGCTTTAATGTCCAGGAGTTGACTCTGATAATAATGCAGGACTTGCTCCTGTTTTGGCAGGAAGTTTCGAGACCAGTTTTCACTCGGCATGAGTGTTTAACAGCCGACTGTTTTTAGAGCATTGTTGTTTTTTTTCTCACGCCATTAGAGAGAGTTGGAGTGTTTTTTTAACGCCCTGTCTCTCTCTCCCCTTCTCTTTTAGCGTAAATGCCAAAGGGGCTCCTGTGAGTTGTTTGACTCGTATCTCTCGTCTCTGTGTTTTGCCCACATTATCAGATTAGTCATGCCGTACAGCAAGAGGCTGCCGCTCTCTAGAGGATACTTAATTGTACGTGGGAGGCGATGCTTTCAATAGTCGTTTTCCTGGATAATTAAAGTAGCCCTGAAATCAGGAATCTGCCACAGAAACCTGCCTCTTGAGTTACGGAAGAATACTTCTTAATGTGGAGCTCTACCATCACTCATTGTCTCCAAGGTGTTGAAGTGTTGCAGCTTTCTGGTAGTGTTGTTGGAAAGTATGTGCAGATTTGATGTATTCTAAGACATAAATGGCTTTGAGTTTGAGCAGTGTTTGTTAACCTTTGTAACGTATCTTGAAGTTCTTAAATAACTCAAAATCCCAGAGCAGAAGTGACGGAGGCATAGATGTTAGTGAGATTATGAGCGGAATTTGAAATATTTTGATCAATGTTTTAATGCTACTTAGCAGCCTGTCACACTGTCTGATGATGTTTCCGTCCACTGCTCACTGTCAGAGCTGAGCACATATGAGCAACCTAAAACTAAACTCTAAATATATATCTGTGTGGGAGGGGTTGTTTTGTTCTACCTGGCTTTAAAAGGCAGAGAGCATTGAAGTTTAGATAAAGAGACCATGTTTTTTTTGGAGGATCTTAAGAGCTCAAACAAGTAACTTTCTACTTTAAAATGACTGCAATATTGATAATTGCTTACAATTGAGTTGTAACACAAAAGTATTAAACTGATCACGTGTTCTTCTCAGAAGCTTATATTACATACTTTTTCTTTGTTTTCCATTATGCTAAACTGAATTACTGTGATTTAAGTAAAGCAATTAATCACATTTGTCAAGTTGTCCTTTGGTAAATTTAACACATTTATGGTTTTCTTTTGTTCTATTGACCAAACGATTATTACAGAACATTGGCTTATTGATTGAAAATGAAAAATCTTAATTGGTCTCCACCCTAATGATATTTTCCTCCACCTCCTGTTCTAAATGAAAAGTGTAATCAATAATCAATGAAACACACATTTGCTTAATCTAATACACACAGGTTTACATTACAGAATCAGTGCATTGACTTTAGGACTCTGGGATAAACTTGGAAAGTCTTGCTTTAATTAATGAGGCGAAAGTTATTCCTTCACAGATTTTCACTCGGTAGTGGATTCACTTTTTAGTTTAATGAGACATGACTTCACTATTTACGCTATTTTTGTCAGACTTGGCAGATTTTCTGTCTGTACTTAATTCTGAACGGACAATTAAACACATCACTATCATTAATTCCTCTGCCTGCCCAGTAGAGTGGAAACACACAAGTCATCACCTTTTAAACACAAGCTGAGTCCACGACCCTCCAATCTGCTGCCCAACTCTCATCATTCCAGCTATTAAGAATGAAAGCAAAGTGGAAAGTTAATAATAAAAATCACCTTATAATCAGTAAAACACCTTCAAGTTCCCTTTTGACTTGAGCAGAAGGAGAGAGGCAGTGCTTGACTTAATAAAAAGGCTCAACACTAGACAGGTTTCTGAGGCTTTACATACCAAAGTATGATAGAAAACTCAGCGCTTCTTAGAGCTTGTCTGTGTGACTGAGGAAAAGAAGTGAAAAAACAACTAAAACAAAATCATGATTTCATGTTCACTACTTTTATTGGAATGATTTGGTCAAAAAGGTGACTCTTATACCAGATATTGTTGTATATGTAATTTAATATTGTATAGCCTTAAGACACATTTGGTTCTCTTTAAGGTGCTCAGATGAAGGGAAACATTTGGGCATCTGCTAGGCCAATTTCCCCAGCTGCAAAACAAAAACTTAAAGTGCACTTAGGCAATAGCATAGGTCTCAGATGTATACAAATTAGGGCTGTCAGTCGATTAAAATATTTAATTGCGATTAATCGCATGAAGTCCATAGTTAATCGCGATTAATCGCAAATTAATCGCACATTTTTTATCTGTTCTAAATGTACCTTCAGTGTTTCCCCTATATACAAATAGTGGCGGGGCAGCGCCGCTGCTGAAATATGAGCGCCGCTGCTAGGGGGCGCCAGCAAGGTACCAAAAAAAATAAAAATAATAATATATTTTTTTTAAACTTTTTTTTTTTTCTTAAAATAAAAATAAGTGGCGACCCTTTTTCATTTTTGATTGTTTGTTATGTGGATTTTGTAGTAT